AGAAAGAAGAAGAAGAAGAAGAAGAAGAAGAAGAAGAAGAAGAAGAAGAAGAAGAAGAAGAAGAAGAAGAAGAAGAAGAAGAAGAAGACGACGAAGAGCATCCATCATTCTGGGACCCACACAGCAGAAGTGAACTGACTCCTGCAAATTGTCCTCTGACTTCCACGTGTATCATGGATGTTGCCATATGTACACACATGCGCATGCATGCACACACGTGCACACACACACACATACAAATAAATAATGTAAAAGGCTAATAATAATAATAAGCTGGGTGTTGGGGCACACCTATAATCTAAGCAGCTTGAGAGGCAGAGGCAGGAGGATTGCTGAAAGCTCAAGAGATCAAGGCTTGTCAGGGCTACACAGTGAGATCCTGTCTAAAATAAATAAACAAGAGAGCTTCCACAAACTGACACACGTGCCTCAGTACCGTCAACCTCTTCTGCACGGACAGAGGTCACTCCAACTCACAAAACTGCAAGGACACATGCAGGCCCTAGCTTTTCCGGCCGCCTGAGTGCCCCGGGAACATTCAGCTCCAGGGTGGCTTCTCTGTGTCTTCCAGCTACTTCACCCACATGGGCCGCTCCTCCCTGACCTCTCTCTCCTCTCCTTTCCTCTCATCCTCCCCTGAGGGTCAAGGCCCAGGAGAGCCACGAGGACACACTGTGGCGTCCCAGAAGCCTGGACCTCTGGTGCCTACTCTGGCTGCTTGCATCTTCCCAGTCTCATGTGGTATACGTTTCACCACCTCTAGGGCCAGGACCTCTGCTTGGAGCATGCTGGGGGGACAGTGTCAGGAGCCGCACCTTAGCAGATTGAGGGCACAGCACAGTTGGGGCGGGGGGGGGGGGGGAGCTGAGACAGCACAGGACGAACTCACACACGAGTCACTGAGAGAGGATGCGGTGTATGGGAGGACAGAGCTGGAGCCAGGGAAAGGCACCACAGCAGCTTCCCCGAAAGGTCCCCATGCCAGAAGCCGGTGTGCCCGCACATCATCGCACCTCACCCAGGCTCACCCGGGCAGCACCTGAAGCTGTGGATGCTGGCTGGGATTCAGATCCACAGCTGCCTGCTTCTCAAGCCTGTTCTCTTTTTTGTGTACAGGTGGTCGTCTGAGGGGACCTCAGCTCTGGGGCTCGGAGAATGGTAAAGGGACCTCCAGAATAAACTAATTGCCTTCAGAGCAAAGAAAAAGAACAGATAGACAAAAATGAGAAACACAGAGAAGAAGCAAAAAAACACCAAGTTCTCCCCAAACTGCATATCATTCCGGGATGGGAGAGCAGACATAACAGATGCTGGAAACATGGCTTCGGTGACAAGAGCCACTTGACCGAATGTCAGCTATGATTTCTTGCTTTCGGCCAACAAGGTCAGAGAATATTCCAGAACTGCTGGTGCTGAGCTCCAAAAGCAGAGAGGCTTCTCAGTTCCAATGTCTCCAGGACAGTCATGCTGCCAGCTCTGGATTCTCAGTTTTGTTTTTTATACTGCAAGACAGAGAAAGAGATTTTTATACTGCAAGATGGTGGAGGAGGACTCTGGTCATGTCTCACAGGTGTCCCCACCCCCCACACACAGGGGTTTCCGGGGGTGAGACTCCATGGGGACGCCCTCCACTGTCACATCTCTAGTTGGTACCTAGCTCTTCTTCTTTACTGGAAAAGCTGAGGGGCTCAGGGAGGGAGACAGGGAGGCTGGAGGTGTTGGGACCAAGTAACAAGCACTCACCAGGGCTTGTCCTTAAGCTGAGTCTTGTTTGTGGGAGCAAAGTCCCTGGCAGAGGAGGCCCCCCAAAGCCTCTTCAAAGCCAATCACTGAAATGTTTCTTTTTCTGCTTTTTTTTTTCCTTGTCAGGGATATGCCCCAGGGGCTTATGCACTAGGCAAGCAATCTACCACTCAGCTAAATGCCCTGTCAAAATCTGAGTTTCACAAAATGGACTTTAAACTCCACATCTGGAGCATCTGAGTTAGGAGGACAAGAATCTGGGGGTACACTCCAGTTCTCCACAGGGTCCAGATGGAGGTCCTAGACAGCAGCCTAGTTTTTGTCAAGGTCACACAAACTAGAGTCACTTGGGACAAGACAACCGCAATTTAGGAATTGCTTCCATCAGATCGGCCTGTGTCCGTGCCTGTGGGCAGTGCCAGCGCTGGGCAGGTGGTCCTGGGGCGCATAAGAAAGGTAGCCGAGAGAGTTGTGGGAAGCGAGCCAGTTAGCAGCCTTCCTCTGTGATGTCTGCTTCCGTTCCTGCCTCGGCTTCCCTTGGTGATGGACTACGGGACCGTAAGCCAAATAAACCCTTTCCTGCCCCCAGGCGGCTTCTGCCAGTGTTTTATCACAGTAGCAGAGAGCAGACTAAGACAGCTTCCCCCAGGCCAGATACAGCTATGCGGTGACACACAGCAGAGCTGTCCTTCCAGAGACACAGCAGCTGTTCCTGGGCCCAATGTCAGCTCACTTGGCACTGCTAGGCAGTGGTATGGCCTTTCAGGATTAAGGGTGCTGCTGGAAAAGAATGCAACCATAAGAGATCACCCTGGGAGAACGGATGGCATGGGCAGCCTGTTTTCAACCGTGACTCGCAGGCGTCCCCTAGTGGCCGAGGAGGTTAGCGCATCCCCGGAGCCAAGCAAGCACTTTACCTTGTTCATGATCCAGTCAGCATCTTCAATGGCTCTTTTAATAATCTGCAGGATTCTCTCGGGGTTATCTTCATCTGAGTGAACCCGGAAACCCTGTAAGTTTCAGCATAAAAGAAAATCATGGCCAAGCGAAATTCACAAGGTCCGCAACTTCAGCGCACAGTCCCGAGAGGCTGCGGGGCGCTGGTCACCTCTTAGCCCTGCTGAGGTGCGCTCATCCTGCCCACTTGGAGATGAGGCTTGGAGGGGCGACCCTGCTGCTCTCAGGTAGCAGCGTTTGAGTCCTAGTCTATCTGACAGCCAGCGGGGAGGATGAGAAGGAGGCCGGGCTCTGGGCCCGCAGGTGATCTGGCAGGTGATCATCCAGCAGGTGATAATGGCCGACGGGAGTCCTCATTCCCTGGGTCTGATTTGCTCAGCAAAGGAATCTGCTTCAATCAAAGTGTGCTGGAGAGGGTGCACGCGCACGCACGCGCACGCACGCGCGCGCACACACACACCAGGTGCTGGTGCTGGAGGAGCAACCGGGAAAGGTGGGAAAGCAGAGGGGCAGGAGAGCCTGGGAAATCCAGCCAGGCTTGTGACCTGTGACCTACGACTTAGGTTCACTGGTGTGCTTCTTCCAGAACAATGGACTCCCCCGTCCCTTACCTGTGTTCCCAACCTCACATTCACCTACTTACCAGGAGCCCACCTTGTGCCACCTCCAGGAAGTCTTCCCTGACTCCCCCAAAGCTAATTCCTCCCTTCTATTTCCCACAGCCTTCTATTGCTACCACTCTTTCTCTTTTTAAGACAGGGTCTCACTATGTAGCCCTGGCTAGCCTGGAACTCACTATGTAGACCAGGCTGGCCTTGAACTCAGGGAGATCCATCTGCCTCTGCTTCTTGAGTGCTGGGATTAAAGATGTGTGCCACCACCACATCCCAGTTGTTTTTCTTTTCCACATCTGTATGAAGTTTGGCTTTGAGCTCTTTGTTTGGAAATGATTTCTTATAACTTTTTTAAATGTTGTATTATGTTTGTCTGTGGTATGGGTGTTTTGCCTTGTATATACGTCTATGCACCACACGCATGCAGTACCTGCACAGACCAGGAGAGGGCACTGGATCCCCAGAAGCTGCCAGAGAGGTGCAAAGAATAGACCCTGAGTCCTCTGGAAGAGTTGCCCATGCTCTTAACCTCTTAGCCACTGACCAAGTCCTGGAAGTGATTTTTTTTGTTTGTTTGTTTGTTTGTTTGTTTGTTTTTCGAGACAGGGTTTCTCTGTGTAACCGAGTCCTGGCTGTCCTGGAACTTGCTTTGTAGACCAGGCTGGCCTCAAACTCACAGAGATCCTCCTGCCTCTGCCTCCCAAGTGCTGGGATTAAAGGTGTGCGCCACCGCCGCCTGGCCCGGAAGTGATTTCTTATAGAAAGGTAGTGTGATGTGCAAAGAACTCCAAACCAGACTTCCCAGTTAACATTTTCCCACGCTAGCTTTACCACCCTTTTTATATAGAAGCATCTTAAAGTAAGTTACAGGCACTGTGCCCTTATCCCTTACAAAACTCTGTGTGTTTCCTAACAAAGGCACCCTCTGACAGACCACAGCAATCAAACTCCGAAAAATTAACATCGATACAACCATTACCTAATCCACTGCCAGTATTCTAATTCCCATCTGCCACATGTTTCTCTGGCCTAGGATCTGGCGTCATGCCTTCCATTTACTTGGGACATTGCTTTCGTCACGGTTAACCTAGAGCTGCTTGCCTTTCCTGGCGCTCCACAAAACTTTGTCCTGCTTTTTTTTATTTATAGTTCTTTAAGACAGGTCCTCTTAGTGGGACCTGGGGCTCGCAATCCTCCTGTTCCTGCCTCTCCGACGCTGAGATTGCAAGTGCAGGCCACCACCCCACCTTCTCTGGGTGTTGAACTCTGGTCCTCACGGTAGCGCGGCAAGCACTTTCTCCACGGCAGCGTTATCTCACCCGCCTCTCCCCAGTCTGTGTTGCTTTCCTCTGAGCTGTCTCATTCAGGCCCCAGCACAGCGCCGAGACGCCAGCCGATGCAGCCACGGTGCCACGGACGGAAGCCAGAGGCCAGCTGCCCACTTTCACAGTGCTTCTCATAAAACCTCTAGGCCCACTCCCGGGCACGTGTGCCTCTGGCCCCCGGCAGACACCTCCCCCAGACGTGCTCCCACCTGCCGGACGGCATGCTTGTAGTGCTCCTGGGCGCCCTTGGTTGGCAGCTGCCGGCAACAGCGCAGCAGGTAACGGTAGAGCTGCAGCGGAGTCTGGACCAGCTCTGCCCCGGGCAGTGGGGCCATCTGTGAGCCCCGGCCCTGGAAAACACAGAACGCCGCTTTCTGAGATATCAGGCCAGTTCCACAGTGGCCCTGGCCTCCAATCCCAGCCCTCTGTGAACCATCTGCACAGGGGCCCGGCCCCCTAGTGGCCCAATCCCAGCCGCCTACACCCTGGGCTGGGGCTAGCCTTAGCATAGAGCAGGCCCACAGGGACCCAATGCAAGTGCAGAGGGAGATGTGCCAGCTCAACCTAGGGTCTGCTAAGGCTCAGCTTCAGGCGGGAGGTGAGGGAGGTAATGAGCAGAAAACCCCAGGGAGCCAACAAGGCTGCCCACAGCCACATACATCCTAGTCGGGGCATCAGGCAGGAAGGCGCAGAGTTCCAAAGCTGCTAATCTAAGCGTTGTCCCAAAGCCAGAGCAGTCTTGGTCCCTAGCCAGATAGATGCATGTTAATGCACAGAGTGGCTCCATGAAGAAGCAGCTATACACAGAGTGACCGAGGGGAAGCCAGAACTAGGTTCGTGACTTCATTTTACTGAGACGTTAATAACAGTGAGCACGGTATACATTTGACACATAAACGGATGCAGGCTTAAGAAAAACTAAGCACAGAGGGGTCAGGTAACGTGCCCAAGCTCACACAGCTGACAAGAGGTCGATCTGAGATTTGAACCTTGGCAGTCTGGCTCCAGGGTCTGGTTAAAAAAAAGGGGGGACATGGAGATGTGGAAGATGACTGGGTAGGTAAGGGTGCTTGTAACTGAGACTGAAGACCTGAGTTTGGTCCCCACGACCCACACACTGGAAGGAGTGAGCCGACTCCCTCAGGCTGTCCCTTCCTCCATAAAAGTGTCACAGCACACACGTGTCCACACATGTCCACACACAAGATGGATGCAACTTTAATTTTCTTTTTTAAAAATAGGGCTGGGTGTGGTAGCACAAGCTTTTAATTCCAGGCCAGCAAAGGCTATGTAGTGAGATACTGCCTCAAAAGTAATTGTTGTTGTTGTTGTTGTTGTAGGGGCTGGAGAGATGGTTCAGCAGTTATGAGCACTGGCTGCTCTTGCAGAGGACTGGGGTTCAGTTCCCAGAACCCATAAGTGGCTCACAACTGTCTGTAACTCCAAGTACATCCAGGGTCCAATGCCTCTTCTGCTCTCCAGAGACACTGAGCATGTTCATGGTACATATATACATGAAGGCAAATGCATGTGCCCATAAAATAAAATAAACAATAATTTTAAATCATTTAGATATTAGGAAAAAGGTGCTGTTAACGTACAATTGACACATGTATTTACAGTGAGCCACTTGGTAACTTTTCACACGTCCACCCCTGCAGAAACCACCACCACGACGAAGAGCACGCACATCCACTCCAAACGACGTCTCAGCGCTC